CCGAATCACGCCAGGTTCGTCCCTTCGTTTCCACTTCTCCCTCCTCCTCTTTCGTTCCCGTCTGCGCCTCATCGACCCACTGTCGGGCGCCCGTTACCCGTTGTCCGCACCTCGTAGTTTTCATGCTTCCTCGGCTCCCTTCGGCACCCCTGTCTCTTATACACATCTAGATGTGTATAAGAGACAGCCCCGCAGCCCCGCGACCCCGCATCCCACCCCCGCCACCGCACCACCAGCTCCGCAACCCCGCCATAGATGCCCGCCAGCACATCCCCCTGTCTCTTATACACATCTAGATGTGTATAAGACGCAGCCCCGCGACCCCGCATCCCACCCCCGCCACCGCACCACCAGCTCCGCAACCCCAGCACCGCGGCCCGCCAGCCCGTCCCCGCCCCCGCGCTGGGGCAACCCCGCACCCGCCAAGGGGGGTCCGCGCCCCCGGGGGGCACCCCATGCTGGGGCATTTTCTGCACCAGACAGAAAATGCCAGGGGCTGCACGCCGGCGGTGCGCACCCCCCACTGTTTTTTTTTTTTATTATTATCTTTTTTTGGACTTTTTTTTGTTTTTTTTCTCCTTATTGGGGCCGGGGTCCCGGGTGCCGACCCCCGGAACCCCGGACCCCCGCCGGGGTCCCGGGGCCGGGGCCGGGGGTCGACAACCCTGCTGGCTATCACCTCGTTGAATTAATCCATATTCACTGGGCTCCATTGCATAACTTGGAACCTGCCGGGGACGTGCTGAGTGAATAAAAAACAAGCCCTGAGAAGGCAGGAGATCGGAGAAGGGAAAACTATATTAATTATAAAGCATCCTGTATAATTAGTCCTGTGTATGGTTGGTCGACTCCAATGTGTTACCTCACCTCTCTCTACGTATTCTAGTCTGAGTCACTTTCTTCGAGCTCAATCATGAGGACTACGTTTCTGTAGGTCTCATTGAGTCGTATTGGACAGAATCGTTATGGTTCAGTCTCGCGGGGTAGTGAGCTGAGTAGAGAAGGCTAAGGCGGGGAAAAATAGATCTTGGTAACTCTCGATACGGGAAGAACACGCACACCGAGCATGTGTTTTATTGATAAAAGCACACTAGCGGGCTGCATAGCACAGTCTCCCAAATCGACTTCTATACCCATCTTTGAACTTGAGCGCAATCGCATCTAGGCCACCGACAGTCTATTATATTCGCGGCCTGAGTCTCGAGGAGTTTGAAAGAGTCATGAAAGAGGACGAGGTTGAGTACGTGTTTTCTTTCTATGACTCTAATGGCAAAGCTGCACAACACTGGTTCATTACCAGAGACTGTTGAACAGACCAAGGCTAAACTCGGGTGAGCACACGAAAGTTTCAGTCTTCCCTTGAATCCAGTCATCACGACAAGTAAGTATCCCTCAGTCAGTATTCTTGCCAGCAATATTCGATTTGAAGAGGTATCATCGGCCTCATTGATCACCATCAATCAAAATTCATCATTATTCAGATTAGTTTTTGACATTCACTCTTACACATGAGTACCCTTACCTCCTTCACAGTCGGTGAGTCAGTTCTGGCCATTCTCAACCAGATTGCTACTAGAGATGCTTTCCAGTATCGATATGTCAGTGTCGCTGGCTTCAAGCGAAGAGACTTATCGGTCTTTGTAGTTCATGCTAAGTTTGCAGAAGGCATCATTCATGACTTGAGGATCTATTTGAAGAAAGACAAAGAAACTCATGAGCACTTTGACTCGATCTGGGTCTTTGCAGCCAGGTACCTTGAGGAGAAAAAGAGAGAGCTTGACGCGAATAGTACCAAGCTGATCCGTAGCTTTGGACCCAAGCTCTATACTCACTATCCTATGTATTCAGTCCCCTTCCTTCTCACGGATGGTTCCTACTGGGGTGATCTAGTGGAGTTAGCTAAGAGGTACATCCCTCAAGCGGAGATTGACTATGAGGGAGTGACCGAGCCTTCAGAGTTCCAACATCTCAGGCGAGGGATTTTCTCTCAGTTGTATCTCCCTACACTATAGGAGGACTTTTGTGCTATGGTTGATTTCCGTGTCATGGGTCTTGGATGGAAGTGTTCGCAACTTGTAAGTTTCAGGTGGCTCTACATTTAGAGGCCACGATCTCTGGAGGTGCATATGCATGCCTCGAGGCACAAGAGACACACAACCAAATGAGAGATCAATTATGAGACTTTAAAGGGATGAGTGAGGACTCTTGAC